GTCCAATTCGTTTTGTTACCAGTTTTGCTGTCTGTAATATAGGTATGTAAACTCAAAAGGAATTCTGTGAAATTCATTACCTTAGTGTTTGTAAAATGCTTTGAGATCTTGGACTGAATACGCCGTAGTACTTAAAAGTTTTGGTTTGGGGGAGGGGAGGATTTGGATCACATAATATAAAGGGAAGTCTATAGTAATTTCATTTTAGCTTTAATAACAAATGACTTAATAAAACAATGCTAACAATGTAACAGAGCAATATGAAGAATACATATTATTGTTATCGGTACACATAGTGGCCATTCATCCTTGTAGCTGTTGACAGCTAATATTACCCATTTCCTCAGTTTTCAGGTAAAGACAAATTGGTGTGTTGTTCATACCTGAGGATGCATGTATTGCAGTGTGACAAGCTAGCTCTTAGTGACAACTGCAAGCATATAAAATATAGCCTCTCCATAAAATAGCACAAAATAATGCATGTTGCCACAGGTAGAATAAAAATAACCTCTTTTTCTACATATTTCACATCCACAAAAGGGATCTGCAAAAGAGGTAGGAGGTTTCATAGGCAACAGCTTACTTCCTCAGAGACTATGAATGGACTTGCACAGAGCAGGGGTACTAAATAGAAAAGAATAAAGTTATATAAATTCAAGGGGGTGGAAGGGAGGGAGCACAGCTGAGAGGTGAAGGTGTCTCTTGCCTTTAGTAGTGGTGCACAACCTTTTGACCCCATGAGCCGGATGAATGGTGCGGAGCTTGTCTACAGGCAGGATCCTGCAGGTGGGGTTGGTCCACAGGCTGGACCCAGAGGAGGGCTGTCACTCAGAGTCGATCCATAAGTGTGATCCAACATGCTGGCCCAGCTCCATGTGCTGGATTTGGCCTTGGCCTGACCCCCCAAGCTGGCGTGATCTAGCACAAGGGGGGCATGCCATCCAGGCCACAGGGCTCCCCTGAGTCTAGAAAGTTGGCAGTAGGGGAGCAGTGGCAGTGATAAATTGCCATAGAAGCCAAAGCAGTTAACACTGTCATCACTCCTCCACTGCTAAGGTTCTGGACCCATGGGGAATATCATTGGCCAGATGACATGGCCAAGTGGGCTAAATTCAGCCTGTGGGCAGGACTTGACCACCACTGCTTTAATATTTTCAGAGTTTAAGCAAAAGGCCATGGGCAGAGTGGCCAGACAACTGTCTTTTGGGCCCTTTCCACAATGGATGTTCCTGCTGTTGCTACCAGTGGAGATGGAGCAGCAGGGGTACTGATAGTATATTTAAAAAATAAATGTGCCAAGAAATCACAGTCACTTGACGCCAGTTGTCTTCCTGCCTAGAGTGGGGTAGGGGGCTGGACCCAATGATCTGCGAGGCCCCTTCCAGCCCCTAGCAATCTATGAATCTATGAAAAATGCATTAAAAAAAACTTGACCATACTGCTGTTGACATCACTGGGAAGTTAGGCAATGATTTCATTGGGAACCAGAATGAAAGCAAGAATCTTTAAAGCAGTGGGATGATCAAAGCTGCACTGGGGAAAACTTTTCACGGAAGAGGATGGAAATATCTTTTTATTGCGCTACAAAGATTTGGTTGTAAACAAAACCTGATAAAATTTACTCTAAACAAAAAAAAAAGGAACAATAGTAGTAACCAAAGGCAACTGATTGGAGCCCATTTTTTCAGATGTAGGCATAAAACAAGGTGGCATATTTCTTTATTACTTTTCTTGTTATGGTCTGTTTTTGTTATCACTGATTTCTGAGGGTACAAGACTGAGCTTGCATTCCTTAACGCACTAGACTAGGGAAAAAATGACATGCTAAATATAATGAGATTGAATACAAGGAATATGAATGTAAGACAGTATATAGATAGCATATTCCTGTGGAAAGTAGTAGAGTTTAGAAATCTGGATTCTAGTTTGGTGTCTCTTCCATCATTTGATTGTGTACAACTCAGATAATTGTTCAGTTTCTCAATTTTTTCATCTGTTAAAAAGCAGAATAACCATTCAAAGCGACCTTTGTAAACTGCATCAAGTGCTAAATATTATAATAATTATAGCACTTTGGGCTCTTGGACTTGGAACTTATGTGCAAGTAAAATTCTATTTGTAATTATTCATTATTAATGAACTCAGTGAGAGTGTCAAGGAGAAGGCAAGAAATATAGGAATGGGGATGTTTGTTTAACAATAATAACATGTTTTGGGATATGGAAATGGAGATACAGTTAAGCAATAATGCTCATCATTATATTCCGGGGGTGTGCTTCCAGTCTTATGAACTGTTATGTGTATGTTACTGTATGTGTAAGTCAGAAGTTAGCGCAACTAAAATCATTGGGATTACCCCCATATGCAAAATCAGAATTGGGTTACCAGTCATATATATGTAAGTTAGGACTTAACCTGCGACAAAATAAGAGAAAAAGTAAAGAAATGTTTTACAATATATTTTGGAGAAAAACAGGATTTATTCGGTAAAACTGAACGAGATAAAGCAACTAAGAGAAAGGACACCTAAGGGACAGTCATTAAAGTTCAATGCAGTATTATAAATATCCCAAGATAAGCATACACTCTAGCAGTAAACAAACTAAAACAGTGGTGCCCAACCTCCTGGGCCAGCAAGCTGGGTGAGCAGCATGGCATTGGTCCCCAGGCCTGATCCTGCATAGGATTGGTGTGTAAGGTCAGTGTGCGGGTGCAATCCCATGTGTTGGTCTGACCCCATGCGCCAGAACCAGCCATACACCAATCTAGTCTAGCACACAGGGCCATGTTATGTGGTCCACAAGGCTCCCCATGGGTCTGGACATTTTGCAGCAAGGGAGCTGCAATTAATAGTACCTGCTGCCAAATTTCCGGGCCTGTGAGGAGCCCTTTGAGCCAGGTGACATGGCTCTGCAGGCCGGATCTGGCGTGTGGGCCGGAGGTGGAACATCACTGAAATGGAATAAGAAAGGCTGAGGTGGCTGAAAAAGGGAAAAAGTGAAAAAAGTTCTTCAGGAGAAGAGAAATTGCAAGGACAGGTTTTAATCACACTGGTGCTGAGTCAGTGAGGGGGCATGATTTATTAAAAAAAAAAGACAAGAAAGTAAGTTAAGGAATAGCCTGAGAAGGATATTGAAAATATCGATCCTATGACCCCAGCTGACTTCCTGCCCTTTGGGCAGGGGGCTGGACTTGATGATCTTCCGAGGTCCCTTCCAGCCCTAATGTCTATGAAATCTATGAAAACGGGGAATTTAAAACACAAATGGCAAATGGTGTAAGTATGCTCAACTACATGCTCCTATTTATCCATATCATAACACAAAACTAAGTGGAATGTATAGAAAAAGGATACAAATATAAAACTGATATATATACCATAGACTGTTACTTGTTGAAGTAGCTGGCCTGTCTCATGAGAAACAGAGAGATTTCAGCCGGTTTTGAATACTACTTATATACTACTTATATAGTATACTTTAGATGGTATAAACAAAATTACAGGGAATACAAAACCTCACACTTAAGGATGTATTCCAAATACTACCAAGAGTAAAAAATTTAGGGAGAAACATCTCTTCTCCTTTAAATAGGTTATTTTTAACTCTGGTCAGGGATTTTTCATCTTCCTCTGAGACCTCTAGTGTTGGCCTCTTCAGCTCAGGTATGATAATTATGATATGTTTAAGGATGATGCACTGACTGAACAAATAGATGGTGCTAAAAATATGAAATGTTTCTTTGTTTCAGTCTTTAAAAGGCAAATCCATGACAGATGCCAGAACCAGGCAGATGTGAGGTTCCTTGAGGAAAAAGGAAATATTGAAAGAACTTGGAATTGTGCTAGAGTAAATGGTAAATACATTAAAAAAATCTAAAGCCTGACATAATCAGGGTCATGTACCTGCCACAAAAATTCTGAAGGAATAGGTAAAAGAGGTGAAGGCTCTCTAGATATATGTAAGCACTTTTTGAAAGAAGGGTTTACAAGTGCTGAAGAAAATTCAATGTAACATGTATGCCAAAAATATTAATCCAGGAAGCTGTTGTCATTTACTAAATACTTAAAAATCATGCACAATGGGACTTTAGAAATATGTGACTATGATTCTGAAACTGGATTCATCTGGAAAGTAATGCTCACACAACTAACTGGTTAATCACACAATAAATTTAAAGTAGCCACAGGTGCACAGTACCAATCACACAATTAACCGGTTAATCATGCAATAAAGTAAGACTGGCCACCGTGCAAAATAAGAGTGGCCACAAGTGCAAAGCAATGATCACACCATTAACTGGTTAATCCCACAATAAAGTTAGACTGGCCAGAGATGTAAAGTAATGATCACACAATTAACTGGTTAATCATGCAATAAATGTAGTGTGGCCCCAGGTGCAAAGTATTCATTACACCATTGACTGATTAGCCAGCAATAAATTTAGACTGGCCACAGTGCAAAGTAAGAGTGACCACAAGTGCAAAGAAATAATCACACCATTAACCTGTTAATCCCACAATAAAGAAAGACTGGCCACAGGTGCAAGTAATAATCAGACACCTAACTGGTTAATTGGGCAATAAATGTACAGTGGTCACAAGAGCAAAGTAATCATTGCACCATTGACTGATTAATGTGCAGTAAATTTAGACTGGCCACAGGGTAAAGTAAGAGAAGCCACAAGTGCCAAGAGTAATGATCACACCATTAACTGGTTAATACTGCAATAAACTTAGACTGGCCAGGGTACAAAGTAAGACCCAGCACCCAGGGCAAAGTAATGATCACTATAATTTAACTGGCTAATCGTGTAATAAATTTAGAGGGGCCACCGTGCAAGGCAGCCATCACACCGGTGTTGGCCATCATAGAGGACATCGCGGTTTTCTGCTCCTCTGTCCCCTATTGAAACGAAACCCAACGCCTTTATGTCCTCTATTTTTCTTTTCAAGCAGGTGTCATCACTGCCTAAATTTGTTGCACGATTAGCCAGTTAAATTACAGTGATCGTTACTTTGCCCTGTGTGCTGGGTCTTACTTTGTACCCTGGCCAGTCTAAGTTAGTCTAAAGGCGCCAGGTTGCGTGGCAGTAGAGGACAACCGGCCTGTCCTCTATGATGGCCACCCTAATCACACCTTCAACTGGTTAATCCTGCAATAAGCGTAATGCTGGCCGCAAGCCCCAGCTGACGATCGCACCATTCACTACCGAGCCTGCTATACGCTAATTCGGAGGGGCCACGCGTGCAAAGTGATGCTCAGGGGACTCCGTCCAGCTAGGAAAAGCAGCCAGCCAGCCAGCCAGCCCCAGCCTGGCTGCGCTTGGACACACGGACTAGCTGGAGAGCCGGGCGCGTCTCGGGGGGTAGGTTGCGGCCGTGTCCGAGGTGACAGGCAGACGAGTTAGTCTGGGGCAGTGGGATCTCTCTGCCGAGCCCGACCACAAGAGTTGGGGAAAT